AGCAGGAGCCCCCAGGGAGTGTCAAGAGGAGAGCAAGCCCTCCCCAGGCAGCAAGCCCAAGGAGGGACAGCGGGCTCCTCCCAGGAAGGCACCAAGGCCTGGCGGAGGGTGGCCAGGAGGATCCTCGCCTGCCTCACACGAATGTGCTGTTGCTGCGTGGGGGCCCCCAGGACAGGGCCCAGGCAGGAAAATGGGGTGGCTCGGGCCCCAGAAGGGCGGGCACGCAGAAGGTGAAACAAAGTGGTTCCTGAGACGGTGGCCAGTTGAGATGGAGGCGCAGCCAAGCAGGTGGGTGGGTGCAGCCTGATGCGGCCCTTGCGCCATCCCTGATGGCCTTCCCCAGGACATAACCCACTGTCCCTGGGTGGGTACCGGGAAGGGGGCCTGATGCGCTCAGGCTCAGGCCAGTCCATGTCTTTCCCCTCAGCCAGTTGGCAAGGATCTGATCAGCATGGCGCAGGTGCTCCATAGAGGCGTGCCACCTGCAGGCACCTCCTTCCTGTGAGTTCCAGTCCAGAGGGCCTGCTGGGGACAGGTTGCCTGGAGACAAGTGCTCTCCCACCAACCCCCTCCCTGGTCTGCAAGAAAGACTGGGGAATCCTTTTCCTGGGATGCCCCTCCCCCCGCTGTGCTCTCCTCTGTCCCCTGTTTCTGCCATGGCAGACATGGCTGGTTCTCAATAAATTTCTCTTCCTCACGGATCTCCTTGCTTGGATGCTGTCAGGGGGACCAGGGAGATTTGTCTGGGTCGCATCCTGCTCTGAGTTGGGGCTGGGCCACCATCCATTAGAGCGAAGGGGTGGTTCTGTAGTATTGGGAATAGAGCAAGGCAAGAGGGACTCCTGGGTCCTCTGGAGGTCCCCTGGGCAAACAAGGACTCTCAAGTGCTTGGGAAGGTGGGAGGCTCTTGAGCTGCCTGGGGGCCAGCAGTGCAGACCCTGTGGGGCACCTTCTGACCCTGCTGGTCCCTGATGGAGAGAGTGGAGAAGGGGAGGTGCCCTGGACCAAACATGCACCCAGAGATCATGTCCTCAGTGATCTATCTCCTCCTGCTGGACCCACGTCCTACTACTATCTCTACCATTTACCCCTAGCCCACCAAGACACACAGTCACCAATGTCTCCATCCATTCGTGAACTCAAAGTGCCTTTTACAGCGCCTTTGATCATTCACCTACCCCAGGACCCCAACAGAGAGTACTGCTCCCCTGAGGTTCAAGCCTTCAAGTTAGGAGCTCTCTGGGGACTTGGAAGATTCAGAGCAGAACAAGAGGGGTGTAGACTGTGCTTTGAATGTGGATTCGAGGCTGACCATGGGGTCAGAAGACTCAATTCAGATCCATTCTCTTCCACTGACCCTTTGAGTTACTATGGACATGTCACAGAACTCTGCAAGCCTTAGAGTTCTTGTTTATTCCAGAGGCCTAATTGAGTGCCTACTGTGTGTGTGTGTATGTGTGTGTGTGTGTGTGTGTGTGTGTTTGTGTGTGTTTGTGTGTGTCTACACATGCTTGTCTTTGGGATTCGCCCCAGGATCCCACCACTCATGAAAGCATATCTGTGCCCTGTGACAAAACAGGACCCACACTTTAGCCTCATGAACAGTGAAGCACAGACAGGAGGCGGATCATAGGAGAGAGCGTGACACATCCAAGGGTTTTGTACATCTCCTCCTGCTTTCCTTCTCCCTGAAAGGAGTCTCCAGAAACAGGGTCTGATGTCCAAGGCCGAGTCTTGAATAGGATCCACTAGTCCTGGTATGTGGAGGGAGCGTAGTTGGTGCCGGAATCTCTAGATTTTGTCAAGCTGCGTTTTGAAATGCCTTTATGTGAGACAGAACTTCTAATATTAAGCAACTGAACTGATTCATTTTTTTATCTTCTGTAAAGCAACTAAGTTTTTTTACAGTGTACACAGGCCAAAAGCTAGGAGTTTATAGGGTTGGGGAAGGTCACTTGGCCTTTAGTCTTCTATTCATTCTGTATCCTCTGAGATTCCTTTTGTTCTAAATGTCTTATTGCTCATTTAAGTTATTTTGTTGTTTTGCATTGTGTGGTGTTTTATTTTGTTTCAGTCTCAGAACATAGTTCCAATTCAGAATCTCTACAGCTGACATATTCACCCAAAGACTTCTTGGGAATCAAACCCATAAGTCATCTTTCTTGCTGGCTTATTGTGAAGTAAGAAGAACATGAATTCTTTGATACTCATCACATCAAGAAGTGGTTGAAAAAGTAACTCTCTTTATCTGGACAGTCTCTTTAACTGTTTTGACCCATAGCATATGGTAGAAGCTGTATCATGTCGATTTCTGGGCCCGGGTATTAAGTTTGTAGCTACCTCCACTTGCTGTCTCTTGGAATACTTACTATGTAAGAAAGTCCAAACATTTCTGTTTAAAAGCCCTCCTGGAGTAGAACTAAAATCCCAGGTCTACAGTCTCAGTCTCCCAGTAACAGGCAGCACCAATGTGCTAACCATCATGTGCTACCCATGAGTCAGCCATCTTGGAAGCAGATATTCCATTTCTAGTCAAGCCCTCCCTAATGAAATTCAGGTGACTAGAGAAGCACCACCTGTCAATTCCTGACTAGACCGCAATTTTGTCAGCACAATTTTTTAAGCCAAAAAATTTGTAGCGATTTCTTATATAGAGATAGCATACTGTGAAATATTTTATTAAAAATGTGTATTGAACACTGCCCTGTAATATTATGCTTATTTGGCAAAAAAGCATCTGTAGCTATTATCTTATTAAGACATGTTTACCCTTAGGACTATGAAATTCATACCAATAAAATTTAGCAGGGCCAATTACCACCTAATACAATTACCAACTCTGTTATTATTATTTTTTTAATACTGAGGATTTTGGTGCTCAGAGGTGCTCTATCATTGAGTTACATCGCCCACCTTTTTTATACTTTTTGAGAAAGGTTCTCACTAAATTGCTGAGGCTGGCCTCAAACTGTGACCCCTCCTGCCTCAGCACACTGAGTCTCTGTGATTACAGGTAAGCACCATCACACTGGGTTTTGTAGGCTCATGTGGAAGCTCAACATTCCTGCAATTCCAGCCCACCTCTCTAAAGTTAAGCCCCAGGGACTGGGAAGGCTGAGGCAGGAAGATTGAAAGTTTCAGGGCAGCCTGGGAAATTTAGAATTTTAACAACCCTGTAAAACACTGTTTAAAAATAAAAGCTGAGCGAGGTGACCCACTCCTGTAATTCCAGCATCTCAGGAGGTTGAGGCAGGAGGATCAAGAGTTCCAAGCCATCCTCAGCAAAAGCAAGGCACTAAGCAACTCTGTCAGACCCTTTCCATATATACAAAATAGGGCTGGGATGTGGCTCAGTGGCTGAGTGCCCCTGAGTTCAATCCCTAGTAACAAAAAAAGAGAAAAAATGCTGAGGATTTAGCTTAGTTAGTGTAAAACACCCATGGGTTCAATCCCCATTACTAAACAAAGAAACAAAAACAAGGCAAAAACAAAAAATTTAAAAACCAGCAGATGGGCTTCAAAGGAAAGCTTAAAGGCAGGAAATCAAAACTAGCCCGGAGTCATGCTCATATTTAAGGCTGGAAGGAGAAGAGACTCAAATGGTGGCACTGTCCAATATCACAGCCATTGTCCAAATGTAGCCATTTATAGTTACGTTTTTTCCATTTCTTAGCTTTTTTCCAAATTTTATTTTTTTATTTTTATTTTTTTTTATCAATCGTAAGCAAAGGCAGCGTTTTAGCTATTCTGGGCATGTCGAGTTGTTAGGCTCCTTTGTTCCTAACAGTAAGGTTTGCTTCAGGACAGGGTGCTGGGTGAATTGTTCATGAAGAAACCATGGGAAGGAGGAATGGGAAAGGAAGAGAATTCCTGAGTGGTGCACAGCCACGTAGTGATTGGGGGACAGGACTGATGCACCCCAAAGAGGGGTGAATCATTACACAATAAGCACTAAAGGATGTGCTCAGAATTGTTACTGCTCCAGGAAATCAGGATGGAGGAAAATCAGGGGTGAGAAAAAATGCTTCCTGGAGATGGGAGCTGAGCCCTGAGAGATGGTCATATTTGAACAGAAAGAAGGGAAAAGGAAGGCTTTGCAGGTGAGTGACACCCTGTGAGAAATGCCATTCTGCCACACTTGCAAGGCAGTGGTTTGGGGCAAGAGGAATTGATCAGGAAGCAGGGGCAAAGTGATAAAGACATACCAGTAGAGCTCAAGGTTTCCCAGAATAAAGGTGTGGCCTGTGCTTC